GTGTACAATCAATTAGGTCACTTTGGCTTTAGCGTTCACCCAGTGAACACATAAATTACACTTTTTGTTTATATATTCTTGATCTGAAATGTTTATGGAACAACTCAAGTCCTACATAGTCAGTTTCAGCTTGCGGGTAGGCTGACCCACTGTTAGTCACTGAAAACAAGCTTTTAGGTGCCTTTTGCACTTCACAAAGGGTTGTGGTCACCGGGAACTGATTATATCTTTAATTGAGCCAGGCCACAGGGAAGGGGGTCTTATCACAGATTTTTTCACGATTCTGATTTTTTGTTTATCTTAGAAAGCACAAAGAGACCTTTCAAATGAGCAATGACTTATGTCTTAACAATTTTTCCTTGCATATATAGATCAAAATGTCGGATTTGAATTTAGCACATATTCCTCTTAATCTTGGGCACATTTTTGGCTCTGTAGCACAATTCTAATTATTGTAATAAGACCGGTTTTCCTATGGCCAGGCTCAATTATGTTTATTTTTCTGAAACGTACTGCAATATCATGTTTCCGAATTAGTACAAGATATAAAAAATTGTTATTACAGCGAAACAATTCTGAAGCATTTTTACATGGTCAGAGGTACGGGTTAGATGTGTTTTTGTTACATTAGACAGTAGGCTAATGGAATGTTTTGTTTTCCCTCGTCTTAACCAATAAACGTTTCCCGCATAGCCATCCGCATTGTAAGAAAATGTGTTGTGTTATAGTATGACCGCCTGGGACTGGTGAACATGTGCATTAAAATAAATTGTTAAAGGGTGACGCATATCGTTTAGCAAATCGAACGCTCGTTTCTGGTGTTGCTCACCGTTTAGTATAAAAGGCCCGATCCCGGAATAATACTCAAGGGTTCACAGGTTCGATGTCGTTGTGTCAACACCTCTAACTGTTATATAGCCTAAGTATATTATAGATCGTCACACATTTATAAAAGGGTGATTTTTATTTTGACAAATCAATTCCAAATTTATGGGTGAAGTTTCAGGATCTTCTATTTGTGTATAATGAGGAAAAATTGGCATCTACATTTCCCCATAACGTAATAGCACACAGCTTGGCATATGAAATATCCTACAAATGAAACAAAGCAGTTCTAATACACCCTATGCAGACAGAGCCTGTGGGAAATATTGGGTGCGGAGCAAATGAGCGGAGGGTGCGGAGCTAACGGTCATTTTTGAATTTAAATTTGGGATATTTCTGAAACTAAGCCGTTTTGGGACTTCAAATATACCAAGATATGTGTATTTGACACCAAATACCAATAAAATTGTGAAAATAGTAGTGCAATTCATTTAATAGCGACGCAGTATGCCTTAAACATTTCCCAGACCTATATATTTTGAGACTATCCTTTTAATACTGCGTCCCCAGCATTCATAAAAAATGGTGTTCAAGATACACTACCCATGCAAATTATTTTGGCATCTTGGAAGCCAGGCAGTATCTGTGTGATTTTATAAAAATTCGGAAATGTTCTTCAGATATGAGCCCCCTCTAAATATTGGGTGCGGAGCTACGTTTATGGAGCTGCTCCGCACCCAATATTTAGAGGGGGCTCATATCTGAAAAACATTCCGAATTTTTATAAAATCACACAGATACTGCCTGGCCTCCAAGATGCAAAAATAATTTGTATAGATAGTGTACCTTGAACACCATTTTTTATGAATGCTGGGGACTCAGTATTAAAAGGATAATATCAAAATATATAGGTCTGGGAAAGGTTTAAGGCACACTGTGTCGCTATAGAATGAATTGCGCTACTATTTTTACAATTGTATTGATATTTGGTGTCAAATACACATATCTTGGTATATTTGAAGTCCCAAAACGGCTTAGTTTCAGAAATATCCCAAATTTAAATTCAAAAATGACCGTTAGCTCCGCACCCTCCGCTCATTTGCTCCGCACCCAATATTTCCCACAGGCTCTGTCTGCATAGGGTGTAATACAAGGATTTGTATTGGCTGTTGTACATGTACTGTTTGAACGCAATCACTCTATGGATAACGTTTTCAAAATCATTATAAACGGATTATAAACTTTATCTCAAAGACAATTTCAATAAACTGGATTCTACAGAACTCCCCTTATTTCTTAAAAATGGACTGATCCAGTTGATTCGCCTGGAGCCGCCATATTGTTTTTATACGGGATGCTTATCGTCACCCTTTAAAAGTAAAAATACAATGTTGCCAAGTAGAGTAAAATGTTCTTGCCCCCATTTCAAACAGTTTTACTTTTTGGTACTGGATAAAGCATAAGAATGAGATTTTATAAGAAATAATACACCGAAGGCCGCAGGCCTGAGGTTATTATTTCTTATCAAATCGAATTCGAATGCTTTATCTTACTTAAATCACACAAATTCTTATTACAGGTAAATGGTATATTGCAGGTAAATGGTCAATGATCTAATCTGGAAAATTTTATTTCTTTTGAGTTGACTGTTCATTATAATGTAGCCAATTAATTGTAACACCAAAAAGAGTTGGTTGCATTGACCTCATGAGTGTGAGTTGATGTAAGTGACTGAGTGGGCTATAATTAGTCTAGCTTCAGTGCACTACAGGTGACTGTCCAGTCCAGAACATTGCATTTGAATACAGCAGAATATTTGTAAGTAAGATAAGATCAATGATGTAGATAGCAACAAAAATTGATAAATTGTTTTATTCTAAAGAATGCACAGTAACAAGAGAAGGGTACATGTATTTTTGTATATTGTTTTTAGGGAATGAAAACTATCAAAAACTGTCAATGGTCATTTATGTCTCACTTGTTTTTGATAGCTTGCCAAGTGTACATTCTTTAAAAACAATAGAAATATAATGCACTTTCCTTTTGATAAAACCATACATTCTTAAAAATAAACCACAGCAAATTCTATTGTGTTGCTACCCAAGTGGGATTTAATATAATATAAATCATTCAAATGGAACTAAACCATACACAGGGGACGTACCAAATTAAGCGTGACAGTTTAATGCGCGGGTTACGGAACAACACGAGGGCGATGAAAGAGCAAACTGATGTTTTCATCGTTTTAGAAAGATCTGGTCTAATTTCTGTAACAATATCCTAGACAGTGAACTTGGCGGTCAATTTCATAATAAGCCTACACAAACTCCAATATATGGTATAAGACGCGGGTAAGATACGGTATACACGCAAATTCCAATTCCTTATTTTGTACTTTAACGTTCAGCGCGTTATACATTCGGATTTTGTATAATCTGAAATTCACCGTCAAGTTCACTGTCTAGGATGTTGTTACAGACATTTACTACGTATATCTAAAAATATCTAGAAACTAGACCACATCTTTCTGAATTAAACGACGAAAAATCTGTTTGCTCAAATTTCATCACCCTTATGACTGGGTCACATTTGCTCCGATCCATCGGCCGGCTCCCGGCCGATTGAGTGTTTTGCTCAATATTGTATTCAATTTTGAACAAAATACTCACGCCGTAGTGAAAATCCAGTGGCAAATGTGACCAAGGCATGAGCTTGTGTTGGTTCGTACCCCGCGCGTTCAACTGTCAGGCTTAATTTGGTACGTACCCTGTAGTTAGTAATAAAGTTGGCAATTCATGATTTTCAGCTGCGCGGTCAATGGGGGGTCAAACAGACCAGGTTTTGAAGGAGATAAGCCAAATGTCTTACTTGAACTCAAAATCGCACCTTAAGGTAGTTTTATCTTCGGAGGCTTAGAAATTACTAGATCCGGTTGGTGTATATTATCCTACACTGCTATATGTATAATAACATTAAAAATAAATTTGATATCTATTGCAGTATTGGCAAAATGAATAACCGAATATCGCCTAGATTTACTCGGGAAAACCAATATGCGGAGTATATCACCACGATATACTCCGAAAACCCCAATATGCGGAGGATAGTGGCGGTACACTCCATCCGCTTGTTGATTTCCCGCTAAATTGACTCCATTTGGCATGGAATTCATTTTGCAATGATATTATACATTTAGTACACTCCTTGTAAGAATAGGATAATAAGAACATCCTATGATTTTGAGGAATATCATTTTAATCATCTCGGTGATATTGATATATGCACTCATTCGCTTTCCTCTCTCGTGCAGATATCAATATCACCTCGTAGATGAAAACGATAATCCTTAAAATCATAGGATATTCTATAATTGTCAAAATGGCTTCATTATCGAACAAAAACTGGTGTCACCAACTTTGTTTTTTCTTAAAGGTAAACATTTGATCCTCTTTGTATTGGGAATAGGCGATTGGCGGACATAAAAGGGACTAAATGATAAAAACAAACTGAATTATAGTGTTGTTGTTGTTTTTTATTTATGAACACGGGAAATTTTAAGTCATAAACTATATTTCATATAATTGGTCTTCGAAAAAATACATTTTTCAATTTTCTTTCTGTTTCTATGTTTCAAATTTAATACGAAAGTGCAACAAAAATACATCAAAAATACCATAACTGGGTATAAATTTAATCCATCAAAATCATCAAAAGTGTGATATCCAGAAAGGAGTGCTTGCTCCATTATGGTTTCCCCATGAAAAAATTAATTCATTTGGTTCTTTGCGTTATAATGTGAAATTATTTAGTTTTAGGTCCGTTCGGGTCAAAGTGTATTTTTGGTATGTTTATAATAATCAACGGAAACCAATGGCCCCTATTGGGATATCATTATATCCCAATGTTAAGTCAATAGTGCACATCTCTATGTTAAGTCAATACACCCTTCCTGGACTTATATGTAATGACCTCAACCTCGGCCTCAGCCCATGTGTGTTCAACTGTTTAAATATTTTCCGATTTTTAAATGTTTTTCATGTGACATTGATATTCATGTTTCACCTAAAAATAATTTATTTTGACCATGGGGATATTTGACCAAACTACCTTAATTCAAATACCCGTACAGGATGACTTTCCCATTGACAACCTCCTTTCAAAGTTATAAAACTTTTTTGGAAACAAGTCAGCGTATCAAAGTAAAACAGTTGGCGTTCATTCATTGGACCGAGCCAAATCCAGACAGGTATAAAATGCCAAGCGTGGCTTGGCTGACCATTCAACTACGACGACGGACTTTTTCGGATCGACTTCTAACAGACCCCTAGAAACCGGATATTAGAAAGGTAAGGAGTCATAATGAACTTATGATATTTATCAGTTTGACTATATCCTATAAAGCTATTGTTCTGACATTTTTGAAAATTGAAAATCCTAACTTTTGTATATTTTAGTTTGTTTTGTAGTTTAGCTATCATATCTGTGTCCTCTTATATTTTGATACTTCTCTGCCATGTTATTTTCGGAAAAATTAACATGGCTGAACTCCCTTAATTACAAAAGGCCACAGCTTTGCTGCACATTATACATTACTATCTGAAATATACAAAAGTTAGGATAAATATAAATGTTTCTATTTTTTAATAAACTGTTTCAAAATGGTCTTTGATTGCTTATTTTTTAAATTCAAAGTAGTCTCAAACATTTCTGTTTTGACTGTAATATTATTCCCTCTGAATTAAATAGAAACATTAATTTATGTTCCACGATACAAAATGTTGTTCCAGATGCAGTCATTCACGTTAATAAGTCTTGCGGTGGTTTTGCTTGCTACGTTTCAAAGAGGGACAGCCACAGACGAGGCTGGAGTGCTTGAGGGTATTCTAAAAAGGTAATTACTGAATATTTAGTTTTTTTAAAGATGTGTCGATAAGAACAAATGCACTTAGTGAAGTGCTGTACATGATAAGTTATCGCAACTTACGACCCGTGATGGTTACTTTTTGGCTGAAAACCAGAAGTCCACATATTTGTTAGATGTGTAAAGTGTAAATTATTCATTTTTATTACAGGATACTTGAGGACATGGTTGATGACCAAATCCAAGTAAAAGAGATCGATGCGAGCAGTATAAAGGATAGCCCTGGCTCAACGCTCACCAAATGCTTAGGAGTATCCTCAATGAGGAGTTTAGGCAGGTAAAACACCTCTCATCACTTCACTAAATACATTAATATTCTCTCGTATAGTTAGAGTCCATTTCACTGCTTCATTTCGTCAGTAGAACGGCAAATATAAGAAATTGGGAGACCATTGTGCAATAATATATGGAAAAGTATATTCATAATGTACATGAATGACATTTGTATATCTTGGATTGCTTCTAGTTTGGCTTATAAAGTGTGTGGCGTCTTATATTTGGATGTTTCTCTGCCATGTTATTTTCAATAAGATTAACATGGCTGAAATTCTTCAAATTACAAGACGGCACAGGCTTATTGCACAAAAAACTAAAAAATCTGAAATATACAAATGTCATTCATGTACATTATGAATATACTTTTCCATATATTATTGCACAATGGTCTCCCAATTTCTTATTTTTGCCGTTCTACTGACGAAATGAAGCAGTGAAATGGACTCTAAATAGTTTATGTCAAATGCCAATATTTGAATTATTATGCTTGGAAGTTTACAATAAGCTAATTGGTCTTCATTTCGCAAAATTTTAGCACGCTGCCAAAGAGAGGCCGGTGTGAAAGAAATTATGGTCCCTTAGGGATTATGGTCCCCTTTCTAAACGGTCTTTACTGGTCCTGATTGTGTAAGATAATAAGTAAAAGAGTTGTATTTAGGTCACCATATAAATCAATGGAAAGTAGGACCATAATTTGATAGGACCTCCTACCCTTTTACACCTGGCTGAGATACTTGCTTTCAGAATTTAATTCATGCATGCACATTTCAAATTGTTCAATTGGATGAATTTAATCCATGCATGCATATTTTAATGGGTTGAATCGGTACAATCATTGCCACAAATCATCAGTCAATACGTCACTCATCATTTTCCGACGACTGCGCATATAGCGAAAGTGGATGAAATTTTCCCATTCCGTACAATGCGGAAGTACGTAGACTTGCCAAATTAATAGGAAAAATTCGAATGCATTAGTTACACCTGACTTCTAATTAGTAGGCCTACTTATGCTGTCAATTGACTTGATTTTTTTTTAATTGTTCCACTCTAAGAACTAAGTCAAGAAGCGTGATAAAAATTTATCAGCATTTGAGAAAAGTCAACTGAATGAATGTTTTTTCATGCAATTCTAATACCAAGATTAACCAAATTTTAAAAACACGATAGCCTATATTACTTTTAGTTTGAAACACCGGTGGTATTTTTAGTTTTTGGCTTGTAAGTGATAAAAGAATCGACAAAAATTTAACAATTACCTCCCGTTCAAGTTCCATTCATTTTATTAGATAAATTGGTAGATTTAATATCACTGAATATGGCATTGCTTGTTGAGGACCACACAACATTACCGTTTATCATTTATTTGAGATTTAAGCAGGGGTCCATTTTATAGAAATAATTGTTTTAAAAGATTTCTTGTTCTCGGATCAATTACTATTATGAATAATCAGGGTAAAAGCTTTTCTACTACTATGGTATGTGCTTGCAGAGATAGCCCGTATCGCAAAAATCATATATCCTTTCACCTCGCATCATATCATATGCTTTATTGATGTTAGAATATATTTTCCTATATATAACCTTTCCAAAAACCGATTCATAAGAAGATAATCCGTTGTAAACTTCAAAAATATCAAAATCAATTTTTTTCTTTTTTTGTGGTCCCTGTTGAATCATTCAATAATAAGTAAACGGTAATGTTGACATGCTCTCAACAGGTGAAAACCTGTATATAGGAATATATGTTTTATTATTTAAACATATGAAAACAATTGGCGGATCAACAAAAAACAGGATGATGTCATTTTGAATGCAAAATATAGTCCGACGGACGATCTTATTTTCAAATAAACAGATAGAATCAATATGTCATGCTAATAACCTTTCCAAAAATTGATTCATGAGTAGATAATCTGTTGTAAACTTCAAAAATATCAAAATCTAATATTTTTTATTTTTTGTGGACCCTCTTAATTCCCTCATGATCAATAATAAGAAAATGGTAATGTTGACAAGTGCTCAACAAGTGAAAATGTATACAGGAATAGACCTATATGTTTTATCATTAAAAGTCATCAAAACGATTGAAGGACCAACAGGAGGAAACAGCTTAATTAATAAGTCTTATCTGAAAAATTCATTTATCACTATATTTGGTCGAGAGTTAGCTAACAGTCCGAGTAGTTTTATGAAGTCAAGCATTTATTTTGATTTCTAGGAAATTCAGGATTTTCGATGACGATTACTCAGGAAGGATTAATCTTGTAGAATTCAATGAGGAACTGAGGAACAGATGTCAAATAAGTCAATCTGAAAGAAGACAACTCTTCGAATCATTGGATAAAGATGGGGGCGGGTTGAGCTATAACGAATTTTCGATGACGATTACTCAGGAAGGATTAATCTTGTAGAATTCAATGAGGAACTGAGGAACAGATGTCAAATAAGTCAATCTGAAAGAAGACAACTCTTCGAATCATTGGATAAAGATGGGGGCGGGTTGAGCTATAACGCTTTTCAGGTGAGATATTTTGAAATGTTTTCACTTTCTTTAAAGTGAAAGGATGTGTCTGGATATATGCCCTTTTGGTCCCTCGGTCAAATGTATGTGAAATATGTTTTTATTACTGTCCTAGTTATATTTGATAAGTATATTTACTTTATATTTGCCAATAATCGCACCTGTTCCTTTTTTCAAATTTTTGAATTTCCCGCCAGTTTAATTTGAAGGGGGAAAAACAAGATGGCTGCTATTTGATGTAAGAAATATCAGAAAAAAAGTTGCTTGACTTTTAGTTTTCACAATGAGCACAGTTTTCCGGTTTAGGTTTTTTGACTGATTCTGACTCACCAGGGTCATGTATAGAGATTATAAAATTGAAACCAAAATGTTGTGCTCAGCATGAATTTGACTGAAATATGTGTAACTTCACCAACACAATTGAAGTGCCAAAACTGGTTAATCAGTAACTTTGAGTGGCTATAATCCCTTGATTACCCAGATACACACCAATTCACTTATCCAGAAATACCATTCAATGTCTATAAAAAGAAAGTAAGCAATGTTTTGGAGGATATGTTTCAAACTTTTTGTATAAAACAATTCATTTAATATTTGCCATTGATTTTTTTTCAATTCTAACAAAGTGATATGCATTGTCTTTGATTCCAATATTCTTCATCAATTGTGATACAAATTGATATTTTTGTAATCTCAGAAGAAGGATAAGATATTGAAGTTTAATAATATGTGTGATTGAGTTGGTTTTGCAGACATTACAATTTTCAATATTTTCTAAGTCGATACCCAGACTCATTCCCTGACTCATCCTTTCACATAGAAAAAAAACATTGATGTTTGTCTATTAGTGCTACGGCCAAGGCCATTTGTGTCCAAAACACCTAGATTCAATTTGACTTTAGATTCTTGTAGGGGACCCCAAGGCATGTAAAAAAACGTTTGTGAACCCTTGCAAAGCAGGCTCAAAAGTGCTGAGTCAGCAAATTTTATCATTTTCGAGTAGGAGTTTGACCATATGCTTGAAACTGTTTAATATCTCATTTGAGGTTGTTGCAATTATAATGAAACATTGTTAATATATCAGTAAGGCATGTACAGGGTGTTCAAAAAAACGCAACCCAAAGAAATCGCTATAACTTGGAAAATACTAATGCAATTATGTTCATTTTTCAGGAAAGAAAGAAGAGACTGTGTATGTATAGCTCCTGTAGTTGGTTAGTTATAAAACATGACGCCTTAGACACCTGCTCAAAAGATATTAGAATTGGAAAGATACGAAAAACGCAGGCAGGGGTGACTGCCACAGCAATAAAACCGAATAATTTTCTAATTATAGTGTTTTAGCTCTTCAAATTTGGCACAAATCATCTTCATTCAAAGTATGGTAAATCTGTAGAGTGAAATCAAAATCACTCCTGGGACTTTACAGTTATGGTCGAAATGTGTTCAAAACGCAGTCAAACGCCCTGGTTCAGGCAGACTTAAGAAGGCATTTTGACCATGACTTAAAAGTCCCTGGAGTGATTTTAATGAAATTCCACAAATTAACCACACATTGAATGAGAATAATTTGTGCCAAATATGAAGTGCCAAAACACTATGGTTAAAAAGTTATTCAGTTTTATTGCTGTGGCAGTCACCTTTGTCTGCGTTTTTTGTATCTTTCTAATACTAATGTCTTTTGAGCAGGTGTCCAAGGTTTCATGTTTTACGAGTAAATAACTACAAGACCTCTACATGCACAGTCTCTCCTTTCTTTCCTGAAAAAATGAGTGCAATTGGATAAGTATTTTCCAAGATATAGCGATTACTTTGGGTTGCGTTTTTTTAACACCCTGTATGAAGAATTTCTGAAAGTTTGGGTCCAACAGAATTTGGTAGAGATATAGGATAATTTATCCCTAAAAGTACATAATTTTTCTTCAAAATTTTTTATTCAGTCGATAGTTAATCAGTCATTTAAAAAACAGTAAGAGCCTATGGTGTATTAAACCTGATTAAAAACTTCACTGATGATGTTAGCAAATATTTCTTGCATAAGTTTCAATAAAAAGTACAAGCATCTATTTTTCTGATTTTTCTCTTTACCTTCCCCTAAAAATTCAAGAAAGGGGGCGTGGCACATTACGCTTCAGTCGTTGAACTTGTTGCTAGGGTCAAATAGAAAATGTGTATCGCTATAGCAAAATTTGTTATTCTAAATAAATCTTAACACTATATGTGACATCATAAAATGCCAAATATATTCATTATCTAACATCTTATATGTTTTACAACTTGTCATTTCCATACCCCATAGAACCGTTTAGGGTATGTGTGGTCAGCAATAGGAAATACATGTATGTGTACTAATAACATTCAAGT